CCCCCCCCGTGGTTACTCTTTAATCCCAAGCCTCAGGGGATGCTTGCGAATGTGGGCGTGGTGTATCTCGGAATTAGCGCTTGGGCTTACAGACGTGTAGGCTGTGCTCTCCAACATGGTAGCCTCCGGCCACACGTAGCTATTTAAATAAAGTTAAATATCCAATTCTTCATTCACACCAACCTTATTTCAAGAGTTCAATAGCCACATATGGCCGGTGGCTGCCACAGAAATAGTGCAGTGTGCTCTACTGGACAGCGCTGGAGAAAGGGCCGGTTCTCTCTGAGAGGCTGCATTCAGAGCCAGGCTACCTGCAAACTCCTTTCCCCCAGATCCCTCAGATGGACTCAAGGGGAGAAGTCCCAGAGGCCTGGACTCAGCTGCCCCAAGCCCCTCACCTTGGAGCCCCTCGCCCTTAGGAGGGTGGCAGTAGGGCAGCTCTCAGATGAGGTTTGACCAGAGTGGCGAGGGGCGGCCTTTGCGCACACGGCTGCGTCCTTGGGGCTCCCGCCCACTGCCCGTGTCTGCCCCCTCAGGTCGCATGGAGGCCTGCGGTGCACCCCGTACTGCTACATCGACTCCACGCCCTGTCGCTACTTCACTTGAGGGCCGCCGGGAGGAGGCGGCGGCACCCACAGACCTGGCAGCAGCGTCTCCACCCTCGGCAGACTGACCTCGCCCTGTCCTGGCCCGGTTTCCATCACCTTCATGCAACAGAAACAAGGACAAACTCTTGCTGCTAAGATGTGCTTTTAACGCAGTCCGACTGGAAGAACCTAGGACCGCTGCATCCTGTCTTAACCCCGAGTACCGGGCATCCTCCACACGCCCATCGCGACCCTCCGGCCAGACCGCCGGCCTGCGGGGCCCTCCCTTCCGAATATCGTGGACTTGGCTTTGCACTGTTAGGAACACCGACTGTTGGAGATTGCTCCCGTCCGCTGGGGGCGTCTGGGGTGCAGGCCTCTCGTCTCCTCTGACCTCTGGAAATGTGGGCATTCTCACCCGGCAGCTGGCCAGGGCTCCCCGGGCCTGGGAACCACGGAGCAGGGAAGTGGGCCTGTTCTTTGGGGGTGGCCCCCAGATCTGGGCCCAACTAGGGACCCCCCCCACTCCGCCCCGCAGCTAACCACAGTCCAGTGCGGCCTCGTGTGGATGCGGCTTCCCCAGGCAGAGCCCCAACTGTGAATAAGTACTGAGACCGTCGCCAAACCCTGGGGTGCTGGGATGCTTGCCGTGTAGACGAAAGCAGAGCAGTGGCCTCCTTTTCGACGTTTCCCAAAGGGGCTGCTCTCAGGGCCTCCCCATCCCCGGCACCATCCTGACCTCCTGGCTCTGTGCACTTGGACCTCCGTCCTGTGAATGTCCCTCGTGTCCATTTCTCCTTCAAGACATTGGCTAGGAGGCCGGCCACTGGTGTTTCCTGAGTCCTTAGGAAACTGCCGCCCGGTTTCCCGTCTGGGCCCCACGATTGAGTACCTGCTCCGGGCAGAGACGGCATCTGTCCTGGGCGTCAGCTCCTGGCTGCCTGCTGATTCCCGTGAGCCCTGGGACCTCCCTCCCTGTCTTCGTGGTGCATAGCCTTGTCCTCGTGTGTGTGCGCCCGAACCCCCGTTTCTACAGGATCGTTAGCCCTGCATGTCCGTGAGCTGCCTTTCATCACCATATTTCCTGAGTGAGGCTTAGCTTTGTTTGGGAAAGACGTCTTCCCCACAGCAGACCTCAGGTGGGATTTGCCCATTTGCTACCAGATGGAGGGACACTCCTGGGCCTGTGTACAAGGCCTGCATCTTGGGCACTTGGCACTGTGCTGGTGGCCAGTCGTGGGCGAATCAGCCCTGGGGTGGGTGGACACACGGGTCATTCTGGCTCCCTCCGCCTCTACTGCAAGTTCCGGGCTGATGTTCCATGGCCCACGTCTGTCCCATGTGAAGCCACCACCTTCATCCTGGCATCTCTGGATGGGAAATCAAGAAATAAAGGCGGTGTTCCTCCCTGCTGTTGCTCTCTCTTCCCCGGGGGTTTGGGGCTGGTGTCCCAGAGCTGCTGGATGGGATAAGGGCTCTGAAATCCAGTCTGCTTCCAGACTCGACAGAGGGTTCTAGAATGGGAAGCAGTCCTGCTCCCTCAGGGACGAGGGAGGAAACTGAGGCCCAAGGTCACCAAGCCAGGTCTTGCTCACCCCCAGCTTGCTTTATGATCTTACATAGGACAGAGTGGAGGTCCAGTACTGCCCTTGGACCTGGCCAAGAGTGGCCCAGTCCTGGGTCCCACTCCTTGGAGGGCACTACTCTGGCCTTCCTCTGGCCATGACCCCCCCCCCCCCCGGGGCCACGGTGACACTTGCACACCCCATGCTGCAGGTCCCAGGAAACCCTAACTCTGTGGTCCGAGTGGTCCTGAGCCTGCTTCTGGGGCTGCACAGCCCTCTCTCCGCGCCTATCCTCCTGACTGTGGCTCGCACACACCTGTAAGCGCGAGGGGTGGCCAGGGACAAGCTGTTTGCAGGCGTGGTAGATGGAGCTTGGAGACACAGGCCGCACTTCCCGGCGTGAGACGGGCCAGGGGCAGGGAGGCCCGCTCTCCTGGTGCTGCCACAGAAAACTTTGAGGAATCTAAAAATTCCAGTCTTCATGAAAGTGTAAGCAGAACCTATTTAATGCGTAACAGTTTGTCAGTTTGACCCTAATGTAAATACTCAGACATTTCGCGTGGGAGCCACCATCTGTGCTCTTGTCCCTGGACCCCGCAGTATTAGAGGGGGGCCCGCCTCCAGCTATTTCTAGGGAGTGTTCTGAAAGGCTCAGGAAATGAAAGGATTCAAGGTCACACGTGTTGAGAATCTATATAGTAATAGTCATTCTCCCCCTTCAGCATTCTGAAATGAAAAGATGAAAGATCGGGGAAGGTGGGCCTGTGCCTCCCCTGAAACGTTAACTCCGCGGCGTAGGGAGCAGCTTTGCCAGGAGCATGGGCACCTGTCAGCAGGCCAGGCAGCCGCAGAAACACCTCCTGGGATCATCTGCTGGTGGGAGGCCCCTTACCCATTCATACTTGGTTCATCACTTCCCACAGCCTCAGTTTCCTCACCTAAGAGACTTGAGACAGAGGTTGAATTTTCTTCCAACTCTAACCGCTGGTGAGTGTGGATTCTCCCCTCCAGCTGTGACAGGGTATGTCCTTGGAGGGGTGATGGATTCCTTTGGCTACTCTCAAGCTGTCATGTGGCATGGCTGAGAATATGACAGGGCCTTCAGATATTGTCATCAAAGGAGGCAGTGTCAGTCCAGATGCTTTGGTTGGCAAGTAGCAGAAAATCCAACTTAAGTATGATATAAACCACAGGGTAGAATTTATTTGCTCATTTAACTCATAAGTTCCAGGAGTGGAGTGGCGATCAGGCAAGGTTCAATCAAGGCTTCCACTCCGTTTCTCGGCTTGATTTAGCCTCTCAGCTATTTGCATCTCTCCTGTTAATTCAGTCCTTAGGGTGGTCACAAGCTGACTACTACAGTTTCAGGCTAACATCTGGACCTTGTAACGTCCACAGGAAGAGAGAACATCTATCCCAGTGGCTCTCAAGAAGTTTTTTTCCCCCCCAGGAGTCCCCAGCAAATCTTGCCTTGAGTCTTGTTGGCCTGTTTTGGGTCACATGCCCATTCTTGAACCGGTTCCTGTTGTCAGAACGCTGCCTGCTGATCAGATCACAGCTGGGTTCCTGAACCCAGGGTGGCAAAGGTTTTAAGATTGCCCTTAGCCCACCCCCTGGAGATTCACCAGAAGCATATAGGCTGTGTGGGGAAGGGGTGGCTGCTGGACCGGATATATTGGGGAGCAGGAATGGGGCAAATGTGACAAACTTGTAAGCAAAGTAAGGTCTCTGAAGGGAACTTGGTAACTGAAATATAGGAACCAGTGCCTGGGAAGATGGTAGGACAAAGTTTCTGAGCCTCTTGGGGCAGACACATGGGTCCATCCATCACCCTAATAGGTAGGGGTGTGGAGAGCACATATGGGTCAAATTGCTTAAGATTCTCCAAACCTCATTATAATCAGTGGGCCAGCTTACACCCCAGTGACTGCTTTACTTGGGTTGTCTGCCCCAGCCCTCCCCTGTAGTGGAGTGAACCAATTTAAATTTTCAACGAAACGCAGATCTTCCATTTGTGTGGTAGCAATGGGCTCACACACAGCTCGAGGCCCCTGGCGATGCACCAAGATTATTACACTAGAGCAGCCCAGTTACCACGTGTGCACAGAGGCTCCAGGGTGTGGGCTGGTCCCCCACCCGCATATTCATTCTTAACCATTCTGGGAGGGGTGCAAACCACACAACAGTGATGAGTTAAGGATTCCCCATCCCACCTCATCCAACCCACCTGCCCAAGAAATAGAGGAAAAGGACTCACACTGCCTGTATCGGAGGGGCATTCTCTCTTGTGGCTCATTTGAGTTCCTTTCAGCCCCAGGCGGCGGACTTTTAGAAACCTCACCAAAGAAAGGAAGCAGCTATTTCCCCTGCCCTCTCTTCCCCCTGCCCCACTCCCTTCACAGGAAGGTAAAGGGGCCCATGTCACAGTGAACTTCTGCCCCCAGTAACTTCTTCAAAGGCAATGATGAATTTTGTCTTTCATGTTCCAACCCATACACAGAACCACACTCCATGGGTGCCCCACCCCAAGTCACCCTCATCCAACACCTACCTAGATGGGAAGTTCAAGGCAGTCATCATGGTCATGGGTCATCACTTGAGGCTCACCAAGGGTGTTGTGTCCTGGAGCAGTGGTTCCCAAGCTTTAGGGTTCATCAGAATGACCCAAAGGGCTTGTCATTCTGACTCAGCAGGTCTGGGGTGGGGCCTGAAAATCTGGGTTTCTAACAAGGTCCCAGGGGATGCTGATGCTGCTAGACCAGGGACCTAAGAGCCTGCCCTGGGGAGATGTCTCATCTGAGAACAACTGCAGAAGACTAGGCAAAAAACACAGGGAAGACAGTTGGGGACTTCGGGTGGGTGGCTTTTTTATACTCGTCATTAAAGCCGGGGGGAGGTCTATGTCCCTTCCTCTTGGACCTAGGTGAGCTTTTGACCAATAGAACACTGCGGTGGTGATGCCGTGTGCCTTCTGGGCTAGGTCATAAAAGGCCACGCAGCTTTTCAGAACACCTGTCCTAGGGGGAGGCAGCCAGTGCGTAAGATGGCCTCGCTACAGAGGCCATGTATGGCCCCAAATGAGCCTGCTTCCAGCCACCCACCATGCACCAGACATGTGAGTGAGGCCAGCTTAGACTCGCCACGCCTGCCCATCTGCCAACTGAGTGACCTCAGTTGAAGACACAAGAAGCAGAATTGCCCAGCCAAGCTCTGTCCTAATTCTTAACCAAAAGACTCCATCAGATCAAATGGTGGCTGTTTTAAGCCACTAGGTTTCGGGGCAGTTTGTCGTTTAGCAATAGGTAACCAGAGTGGTGCTTTGGGTTGAAAAGGGTAGGTTAGCAAACTACACGCAGTGAAGAGTGAAGTGCCCACCTAGAGGAGCCACAGGCTTGGGCTTGGCGCCCTCTGCAGGAACCACGAACACAAATCTGTCTTTCTTACCCCTTCCGGACATTTATCCCTCTGGCCAGGAGAAAAGCCAGAGCCCCGAGGGGCTTTAGTGATCATGCAGCCCAGGGTTCTCAACCAAGGTGGAGACATGGGGTCCATGGAGACAGCAGACTGATTGCAGTAACTGCCCCAATTCCCACACCTCCCAGGATCCAAAGAACTTTGCCACTCCTCACATCGATTGCTGGAGTGTATCTGCCCACCCGCCCCTCGATTCTGAACTTGGCCCTGTGACTCGCTTTGGCCAATGAGATGTCAGCAATTGTGACAGGGGTGGTTTCCTCTCATCTAGCTCCTCTGCTTCTGCTGTGACAACATGTCCAGGCCAGGCTGCTGAGGATAAGAGACATGGAGTCGACCTGAGCTGCCCTAGCTGTGAGGGCTGAGGCCATCCTAGACCAGCTAAACCTGTCAAATCCCAGGCACAGGAAGGAGCCCAGTCAAGATCAGAACTGTCCAGCCACGTCCAGCCTAAATTGCAGAATAAACGCTTATTATGTTAAGCTTCGAGCTTTGGGATGGTTTGTTACACACTGTTGTGGTGGCAATAGTTGTTACCTGAGGATCAATAGTCCCTTAGGTGATGGACATGCACCACCACTTCCCCACTGAGAGTCCTGGCTCAAGTCTCCCATTTACACTGGAAGACATGGGAGCCGGGTGTAGGATAAGCAGCAGAGGATTCCTGGCCTAGTTCTCTGAACTGGTGATTGTCTTCAATCCAAATCTACTGAGCACCCAACAGGTCAAAGACGCCACCGAGAATTTAAAAGGAACATGGTCACTTCCCACGTAGGGATTTACAGCTATCCGGGCGCCAAGACCACAAGATAGGTGTGGGTGTCGCTGTATCCAAGGTGCGGAGGGCAAGCAGGAGGCAGGACCATTTCCAGACTGTGAGTGTCGACTGGGGGTCAGAGGTGTACACGTGTCCTTCTGTGCAGCGTGGCATTCAGGTGGAAGGACTCTAGCGAGCTAGAATGACTAGGATACATGTTTAGGGATACAGTTTAACCCCTGCATGGTTCCCAGACCCAAAGCTAAAAGCCTGCCTTTCCAGACCCAGTAAAATGGCCTCAGATGCCATGTGGCTTGCTAAAGCCACCCTTTAGTTTTGAACTTCACACCTTTTAAAACTGAAGTGTACATCCTAACGATCATAAACACCAAATTAAAAGGGAATCAATTTAGGTAATTAGGCTTAAGCACAAAGGATTCTTAAAAGACCACTACATTTTTCACTGATTCCTAGACTGATTTCTAGTAAGAAAATAAAACCCACCAAGACATGAAGTGTATTGCTGACCTTCATTTTTTACTTAAATATAGTGATCTTTTAAGAGAATAAACCAAAAACACTTTACAGCAAATACTTTACATAAATATAAACGTGCATGTCTACCTCATAATCAAGCAAAATAAACTTTCAGGCACATGATTTTAATAATCGTTAAAGAATGAGACAATGAACCCAAGACAAAGATAACAGGAGCAACAAAAAGACATTTCGTAACGCTTCAATTGGTCTTGTCATCCAGCCTACTGATTAAGGCCTGAGTTTCATGAATCCTACCTTCCTCGTCAAATGGAAATATTCAATTTGGCTGTACCCAATGTATATCCACATAACAGACGGTTACTCTCTCAAAATAATGTAATAAATACATCACACGCACACACACACTGCACACACACCCTACTTAACCAGCCTCTCAAATAGGGAAGTAATAAGGATTTTGGAATTTTCAAGTTTTCCCACCACTGAAGCACATACATATTAATACCACACATAGAAAAATATGACTCTGCTACAGAAATGAGTGGCATCATGAGAAACCTCTAGCTTGTTAAGTTTCCCCAAATCACGTCTTTACTGTGGCTTGCTTGCCATGGCTCCTCAGGTGCTTCGGACTTAAGTCTTCACACCTTGCCGTTCGAACCACAGCGCGGCAGACGTTACACAGAACAAAGAAAAGGCAATTTTAACAAGTCAGTTAGACTTCAAAACCACGAAAATTAGCATGGATAGCTTCCAGCTGTCTCCAAACACCTGGAATGTTTCCTCTACGTCTACCCTCTGTGCTCCACTGGCTGGTTCTCTGCTCCCTTCCCACCAGGCTGTGAGCATCTACAGGTCTGTTCCTGGGCACCCTCCAGGGAACAGAGATGACCACGATGGTGCCTGCTTTGAAGGAGTTCACACCAACCAGAGCTCGAGCAAGAGGAAGGTCCGTGTGTGCACACAGTACTCCAGCTGGTGAAACCAACAGAGGAGGAGTCCATGAAGGGGGCACCCACAGAGACCCCTGAGTGGGGCTGGGGGAGGGGAGGGTGACAAGGCACGGAGACAGGAAGAACAAGCCCAGTTTGGCTGGCAGGAGGGCACTCATGAGAAGTAGTTTACGAGGCCAGATTCTTCATTTCCAAAAAGAAAAGATTCCTTACTCTGCTGGGTAAAGCTGGAGGGCTTGGGGAGGCAACCGCCAAAGGCTTTTGTGCAGAGAACAAAACGGGAGCTGTGCTAGCAGATGTTACCACTGTGTAGGGCCGGGCAGGATGGATGACGGGGAGAGGGTCTGAGCTCAGACAGCCTAACTCACCAAGCCCACTGCCACCTGCAAGCACTTCCTACAGAAACAAACATCTTGACCCAACAGGCCCCAAACCGCAGTTCTGTCTACATATATCAAGACTCTGGGAGGGAAAAAAAAAGAAAGAGAGAGGCTTAAATAGATATTTATAGTTCAAGTTCCTGGAACCTGCCCCAGCTTGAGCAAGTTAAGAGCAGTGAAACAATTCTCACATCCAGTAACAATTCAAGTCTCCCAACCATGACTTTTGGCTTCCCTGAGCTTTCATTACCAAGGAATTAAAATGCAATGATCAATTCATTATAAGTAAGTTCCTACGTGCCATGAAATCCACTGAAGTCTCATAACGGGCTGAGAACCCAGCACAGGGCACTGGTGTGGACCCCTGAGTGGCACCTGGCAGAGTGGCGTGAGCATGCTGCCGGCCCCCCTTCTCCAGCTCACTGGGGTCACTGTGTGGGTCAAACAGGTGACTCTGCAAGGCTCAACTCTAAGCCCCCACCATGGATCATCTAATTTCTTTCTAGGTCCAGACTGCTTCCCTCCACTACCTGGGAAGGGGGAGGCCACCTCGAGGAAGAAAAACCACTCTTAATGTTTTTTATACCACTGAACCAAAGGAGACAGAAATTTCTCAGGACACAGTCATTCAAATTACAGAAATGGGCTACTCCACACTAATTACGGGACGACGTATCACACATTTGCTGCATACAGAGCATTTACTAGTCACCAGTTTCCTGCAACAACAGATTCATCTGGAAACTGCACACTGCAGAAGGCAACCTTGTGACTTTCTTCTAGCTGCATATAATAAATACAAATCAGTTTGGGAGTCAGGCACAAACAGTGGTACAAAAGCATGAACAGAAAAACCTTATCAAAACATGTGCTCGTTTCACACTGCACGACTCCTATCCAGATTCTGGTCTGGAAACCGGCTGCCAGCTCATTTGCTCCAAGAGGCTTCTTCACCTCACCTCTTCCACTCCTAGTATCCCCCACTGAAACCTACTGAAAGAAACACACTCATTATGGATCCACATGGAACTAAAAGCCTCAATTTAATCGAGTCACATGCATCAGCACAGCGGCTGCTGGTTTAATCTGCTCCCCTAGCCTCATGTACTTAGGGACTGTTTGGATCTAAACTGGAGCTAGAAGTAGCCAACACTTCTTCCTTTTGGAATCTAATAAAAGCTCCAATGCACAACTGTTAAGTCCCATGTGTACTTAACTAGAATCTCTGGTTCTAGTAAGTGAGATTCAGGGGCGGGAGTGGTGGGAAAAGCCCAGACTGGGGGCAAGACACTGGCTGTAAACCAGCACTGCGCAGACGAGGGGCTGAGCCAGCAGAGCCCTGAGGTCCCCCCAGCTGACCCTCTCGGACTCCATCCTGAAGTCCGTTTCTACACAGGCTTCTCAGGCTGGGTCAGAGAGAACTTCCTCACCACTCTGTGTCAATAACTGAAAGTGCTTTAAACATGCATCTATGCTGCAGTTTGAGGTTTCCCTCCCTGCCCACCCCTCAAAGACTGTGTTTCATTTCACTGGTGCAAACCATTTGGCCAAGCTGGTGGCTGCTGAGGTTTACAACTGGATCACTGGCTAGGTGAAGAAATGGCCTTTGAGTAACCTAAACCAGGGAACGTTTGTCTGTTTTTCGTTAACAGTGTTAACCAAATAAGAGATATAATTCTGTTAGTTCTGCTATAAATCTACTTAAAACTTTGAAACGTGACATTGTTCAAAAATTACACGAGAAAATCACCCATCACCGCTATGTTAAAGACATGCACATCTGAGCGCTCCAGAGCCTCCAACTCCTCCTACAGTCACTGATCCCCACGTTTTCCTCTCGGCGTGGACTCCACACTAAAGCAGCCCAGTCTCGCAGCAGATCTGTGCACAAAAAGTTGATTTCGAAAGATCCGGCTCTAGTCATCACTGTCACTGCCAGACTCACTCAACTGCAAGTCATTTCCTATAAAGAGAAAACAAAATCAAACCCAAAGTATACAATTTAAAAATGACTTCCCCACGGTTCTTTGGTTGACTGCCTGGGCTCTCACACTACAGTAAAACCAGGCCAGTTCCATTTAATTAGGGAGGAAAACTGATTTGGCTCAGTGACAGAACTGGTGCAGTCAACGTTTTAAAGGAATTGCTATTTTTGGTATCTACAAAGCACAGCAATACCGCTCTCTGGGAAAAAACAGGGGAGGGATAGGCTAGACATACATGTGTCAATAAATGACAAAAAGTATTTATAAACGACTCACTGTCTAGTAGAATTGTTCATATTACGTTGGTTTATAAAAGTGAAAATAATACCAAGTTGGGCTTCCTGTTAAGGAAGCTGAATACTATTTATACTGTGCATACCACTCATATACTAATCCAGTACCCCCCTGACCCCTCTGGCCAGAATCTTCACGTTACCTTACACCACAAATCTGAACTAATGAGCTCTGTAAAGCCTCAAAGTTTTGTCCAGTGTGTGACATTTAGGTTTTATGAGTGAAGAATGTAAGTTTTCCCATCTAATATGATAAGAATAACTTACTTATTAGTAGATGAATTACTATTTTACTTATTAGTAGGTGAATTACTATTTTAAGTATTTCTCAGTTTTAATTTCTAATATGGTAAATATTGATAGATATAAGCTACACACACAAAAGCTCTCTGGGGTCCTCAAAAGTTTTACGACATAAAGAAGTCTGAGACCAAAAAAGGTGACATCTGCTGCTCTAGACGTGGGGAAGGTGATGGGATCAACACCAGCTGACAAACTCCAATCAGCAGAGCTAAGCGCCATCACTTACAAAGAAGGTGACATGCACATAAACAGGTCAGTGTAACGGAGCTGAAATCCCAGTTCTGAAATTTCTTATACAATCAATTTGACCCAGGTTCAAACTGATCCATTTGTTTTTTTTGGGGGGGGAGAAGATATAATACACATTACCATTCAGAAAAACAATATTATCATTACTCTGTATGGTTTCACATTAGGGTTTACCAAATTTGCACTATTTACTGTGATTTTAGGGTTTATAAATTGGTTCCATTGACGATCCTGGTTTAAATAACTCCGGTACTTTACTGTATATGAGGTACGCAAAGATTAAGGTCTTGCCATGGAAGAGCCGCAGGCCAGGAGGACTTGGAGCTATGAAGAGCTAACAGAAGTTTAAGGCACTGGTAGGTAGGTAAGAAGACTGAGCCATTTTTGGCTCTTTTCTTCTAAGGAATAGTTTAGCACTGACTGGGCAAAATGAAGATGCTGAGTTATAGCCACAGTAGCTGTCTGGTCGTTCTCCACTGTGAATTCCAAACTCGCAGTGTGAAACTTACTATCCCAAGCCAACTGAGAAGAGCATCAAGTATACCCTGCTATCCAGAAGCTGGGCCTGAGTTAACAGGATAGCAGATAACAGCCTTAACTGACGTCACAAAAGTGTTGAACTCACTCAGATAGTACAGCAAGGCCCAGAACAGTGGTTCTCCACTGGCACTGATTCCAATGCTACAGGGGCGCTTGGCAATGCCGGGAGACATTCTGGGTTGACACACTGGAGGAAAGTGGGAGGTGCTCCGGCACCTAAGTGGGTAGAGGCCAGGGATGCTCTTCACCGCCCTACAAGGCTGGGGCTGGGCCTCACATCAGGGGTTTACGTGATGTCTACAGTGTGGAGCTGAGAGTGACCTCTGCCTGGCCCACAGGAGCAGGGTTACCTAGGCTAGCTTCCCCGCCACTGCCTCCTGACCTTCCAGCCTCCTCACAGAAGTCAGACCGGAAGAGAACATCCAACTCCAGGGAGTCAGGAGAGAGGAGGGCGCAGAGAACCTGCACTCTCCCCACCTCCAAGACAAAGACATTTGTTTTTGTTCTCCCCTGCTTTGCTTTACCACCAACTGCACTCAAAGCCACCAGACGCTATAATGTCCCTTCCTTCCCTCCTGCGAAGGCTAGCTGGTCGCCAAACACCTTCTAAGGGCACAGGTTCCCAACTCTGTGGGCTGTGGGATACCGCACTCTGATGGCACTGGGCTCTCAGGACTGTACAAAACCTGGAGGTGGGGGACTGGGTGGGGGCAGGCGGCACCCCTAAAGCCTGGTATATGCAAAAGTACAGAGCCCTGTGGCTCACGTTTCAACACTTTCCAGAATTCACAAAACCTAATTTGTGCCAATAAGGAAAAGAAAAGAGATGGAACAGGTTTCTAGTTTTGTGCTTTTTTTTTTGTTTCTTTTTTTTACTGTTTGGTAACTTACTCCTTCCTGCTTCAAATTGCCTTTGTCAGGACCCTTTCTTATGCCTTAAGTACCGTCAGGTTTATAGACTCTGGTGTAAGATAAACAGAAGCTCCAGCTCTGGCCTGACATTCCCTCTCCCCACCCCCAAGCCCCCGCCTCGGCCCAGAAGCGGGAGCGTGCACTTACTGAGGGTGCACATGAGCTGGTTGCTTCCTTGCGGCCGGCCAGTTCCGTTGGCGACGGCCGGCCTGCTGTTGTAGGGTTGCTGGTGTGATGGCTGCGGAGGGGACACAGGGCCGCTGTCCTCGCCTCCACTGCTGGAGCTGTCGTCATCGCTTCCTGACGAGCTCTCGGAGTCTGAGGAGCTGCTTGCACTGCTGCTGCTCATCTGTTCGATGATGTCCACCTCGGCCCTCAGCTCTGGAATAAATGACGAGACGGGGGTAAATGTGTCAAGCCTCTGTAAACAGTAAGCTGGCAAAACCAAGAGCAACGAGGAATAACTGAAAATGAACTCCTGCTTCTTGAGTCCTTAAAAACAAACAAAATGAACCGGAGCAAAACCAACAAACAAAAACATCTAACACGTCTCCAGAGAGACAATGGAAACATTTAATTCACCCAAAATAACCAAAAAGCAGACTGCTCCAGGATAATGATCCTTCTGAGAAATGAATTAAGTCTATTTTGCCTTTATCTACTTTAAAAAAGAAGAATTATGAACTATGGGATTAAACACCAAATAAGAGAAGAGCAACGTTCTGCTCATGGGCTGAGAAATACCTGACCAGGAACTGGAAGGTCTGAGCTCTTGCTTTGGATCCACCTCTAACCAGCAGGGAGACCCAGGTGGAAGGCAATGAATTTTCCAAGAGGCTCTGGAAAAAGGAAGGGCCACAGCAGACAGTCTCTGGGGGCCTTTCCAGCATTCATGTTCCACAGGTAAACAAGGCTCGCAGGAGGAGCCGTGGTGGCTGAAGAAAGATGGCGGGATGACACCTCTCCTCCGTGCTTTCACATCTGACTTACAGCCATGCCTTCAGGTACCGCAATGTTAATAAATGTAAAGCAAGGAAGGAAACACATGTTCTACCTGACCATTTTAATGTGAGTGAGTACATTAACGATTCACCATAGGCTACATCAAGGAAGATGCCAGATTTTCCTGTCCAAACCTACCACGAGGCCTTAAATGGCTATGGTTCCTTTAAGCATAACTGGCAACAACAACCTGTCATGGTCCAATTCCTGTTCGACTAAAGTGAAAACTTCCATAGACAGCATTCCAATATCCATGAGAAAAAAAAAAAAAAATCCAGAGGCTTAAGAACTGTGTACCATGCAGAGAGTGATCTCATTTGTGAAAAGACAGCATTTCCACAAGGTGGAAAAGGCAAACTTCCCAAGGGCAACTTTCTATCTTTTCCTGTTTACTACTGTTACAGGTTTAACTTTGTTTCACAGAACTTCACAAATATGAAATATAACACTTACTCTCATAACTTTCTAAGTGTCTGGACAACTAAAACCATCCACTGTGTGGGGGAGAGAGCCAAGGTGAGTGCCTCTGTCTTGGTTTTACCTTGGAGAGCCTGAACAGACCTCTAAGTCCTTCTAGGCCAGCGCCCCCAGTGTCCCAGGCGCTATCATATTTACGCACTTTTGTTAATACAAAGCAGTGGTCGTGGAACTTAACCTAGACACTATACTAACATTGGCACACTTGGTTTTTACCCCCAGTACCTTGTAATTCTCTTCTTTCAAAGCCTTAAAAGGTGTTCCGTATGGACCTTTAGATGGCAGGCAGGCTTGTTTAAGCCTCAGGCCTCTAAGCAGAAAGCTGCAAAGACAGCCACAGCTCAGGTCACTGTCCCAGACTCTCCCTTGTCAAAGGAGCCAAGTGGTAAACCTCGCCTCCACGGCCCACCCCACCCCGCCCGCTGTCACCTGTGGAACGGTGGGCCCTGCGGAAACTGTTAGGATGGCAGAGAATGCCCATGCCGCCGTGTACGTGGTCTTGTGATCTCCACAAAAACATCAATACCCTCCTCCAAGTTGCTACCATGGCTCCAGAAAATGCTCTCTACCTCTTTTGATATCATCCAGCTGAGGTTCAGGTGAGGGGTTATCCTTCAAGGGAGAGGTTTTGGGTCCAACCGGAGGCTTTGTTGGAGCTCTGAATGGCACAGGTGGTGGAGGCGGTGGTGGCTGTGATGGCTGTGGGGGACGAGCAGGCTGCTGTTCCATTCGGGCTTGGATTCTACTGCTCCCCTCAGCTCTGAAATGAGATACGGACTTTAAACTGGAGGTGCAAGAACAGTGGTTCTCAGGTTTGCCTTGTTTACCAAGCCCCTGGAAGTCTTTGCAGAAGCCCAGACTCTTTACAGACAGCTTCAAAATACTGATATTTGTTAATTTTATCATACAAACTACTCATTCTACTGCATTCCAGTTCTGCATCGTACACCAGAGACACAGAGACGAATAAAGCAGACTCACTGCCTTCACGGAGCTCACATTTTATATCAAGCAGCAGGTAAGACACAGAGGTAGGATATAGTGTGATTACGAGAACCCATTTTAATAACGGAAAATGTAACTATTCACCTTGTATGCAGTATAAAGTTACAATTACACGTGAGTTATTAAACTAGCTCTTGAAATACTGGCCTGTTAGCAATTTTTCCCATTATCTATTTACTGCTTGCTCATTTTGTCAAAGGCCAGCTCTTGCTGGCAGGTAGGCAGAGCACTCCACCCCAGACCAAGGAAATGCTACCCATTAACAATTTCTTTTGTAAATGGACTAGCTCAGCATTTTTCAAACTTTGGTGTCCACACAGATCACCTGGGGATCTCGTTAAAGTGCAGATTCTGACTTAGTATGTCCTGAAATTCTGCACTTCTAACAAATACCTAAGTGATAAAATACTGCTAGCTCCCAGATGACACTGAGTAGTAAGTCAAACTCCCACAATCATCAGTTCTCAGAGGCCTAAGAGCAGCACCTGGTTGGTGGAGGTAATCAACACAAACACACTGTGAGTCACAATCTCACTGATCCTCAGTCTCGTCATGTGTATGTGTGTGTGAGTGTGTGTGTGTGAAAGGGTAACAACACTACCTTTTCAAAAGTTATTTGTAAAGATTAGATAATGCACATAAAACATCTAGCACAGTACCTGGCACGTGGTAATAAATAAATAAAGTACACTCAATAAATGGTAAGTACTTTTACTTTTTGTGGAATGAGTAAAGAAAAATGGCTTGAGGAAGCATAAATAGAAAACATTAAATACTCTCTTTAAAATTTAATTACTCTATTACAATAATTATTGTATCACGATATAAATAGAACCACTGGGTTACTTCTGTTTACAGAATGAAATTTGGCTTTAAAATAAAATCTAATTGGCTTCACATGACACGTGTAATGTCTGTTGAATTAAAAATTAAAGAGAGCTCAATGTTCAAAAAAAATAAACAAAGCTTTACTTTGGTGTAATAATGACCTCAAATGTACCTTGTAAAAATTTAATGTTTTCACTCTAATAAAGAATATATATTATTAAATTATTCTTTCATAACTTTAAGTCTGTAAATTTAAACCTTATCCCTTTGGTGGTACTATATCAACGATCATAAAATTAATAAAACTGATTTAATCATACAGTACACTCCTTTCCACAACGTTTTCTATGTTTCAGGTCTTAAAAGCATTATCTCTCTTTATTGCCTTTGAGGAAAAGATATTTTATTGACTTATCTGAGAAGAGAGAGGTGGAGCTGCTGAGACTGCCAACAACACGAAGCACCCAGGTTCTCACATCCTTATAAAATAACTGAATAGATCATGTAAATCTATAGAAACGGCACATTGATCTGTATCTGCTTCTTCACATACCTTGTTTTCTTGACCTGGATGCTGCTGCTGAGCTTTTCCAGCACATATTCTCCAGTGTCGTGATTGATAATAAGCACACAGTCCTTCTGGTAAGGCCGCTTGTTCCCCTTGAACACAGTCATCGGTGGTGTGGATCCCTACACGCCACAAAAGTACAATTCAGACAATTACACCAAACACACCAGTTATGCATATCAAAACTGAATTTACAGGTGGCTTTACCTCATCACATCTTTTATCAGAGCTACTCAAAAAGGAACAGAATGAACCGATTTGTATTTTAACTCCTGCTGGCTTCCCAAGCAAAAATAAAGAGGAAATAACAATACGGCAAGAATCTGTGACTGTGCAACTGGCTCTAAGTAATCAAGAAATAAACATAAAATTTTTAAATTACTGTACATTTTTCCAAGGATTTGGGAAATGTTACAAATAATGGTAAAATGTGAACTGAGAAACATAAATTACGCATTACGTGTCTGACACCGAGAAGAGCTCTCACTATAAGCAGTAAAGCTAGTGAGTGACCTCCGTACTTCCTTGTAATATCAGAGTCCAGGCTTCCCCCCATGCCAAGTAACCACAGAGCATTCTCCAATGGCAGCTCGTTATTCTGGCTGGTTCACAGTAAGTACATCATTCCATTCACCCACTTAAGCCCTTGAATCACTACCCATCACTCTAAGGCCAAAGAATAAAATCTTTAAACGAGCCACCTGGCCCTTCCACCATGCCCGGCTCCACTTGCCGCAGGCTCTGCAGGCTCCAGAGCAGAAGGAGCTGGCCTTCTCTCAGACCCAAGCTCTTTCTTACAGGGATTTAACAGGGCTTCTGCCTGCAACATCCCACCCTCTCCTTCCCTTTTAATTATTCAACATTCAAATCTGCTCAAAGGTCACTTCCTCAGGGAAGCCTTCCCAGATTTTCCAAAATAAGTGCTACGCTTTCTTATATTTATTTAAACTCCCTAAGGGCAAGAAACGTGCTTGTTTTGTTCAAGACTGTATTCTCAGTACCTAGTAGTGAGCCAGCACCCAGTAGGTGGTCATTAATATTTGCCAAATACAGTGTTTAATCCTTTGTATGGAATCAGAAACTGCTTGGCTGCTTGACTCTTTATTCATACAGTAAAAATTAAGAGTTGGAAGAGACCTTAGGGACCACTGATGTAACCTCTTCATTTTACATTTGGGAAACTAAGGTCCAAAGGGAGATGATGTAACTTGCCAAAGGCAACAAGTAATGAGATAGCAGTTTGAACTAGCAGACAATAAGTTTTCCCCAGCACAAAGCTTCCCAGGTCTCCCTGTCCAGAGCCTTTTCATTCTATCACTGGTTACCGAGAACCGATGTTCCAGGACAGGGCTGGGACATGCACTGACCCATGGTCATTAAGAGTATTTTGTCTGATCCTTTGGGCTTTGTGATCAGAGCGCCGCCTTGGGCAAGGCTTCTCCATTCAGCTTTTAACCGGGTTCCTCAGCCCTAAATGGGCTGAAGGCTCTGCACCTCTGGTTTCTGGCTGAAACCACCAGCCTGCACATCACCCCTTGCCGGACTCATGACCGTGTCGACCCTGCTCCTGCCCTCTGCACTCCTAAGCTGCTGCGTTACATCCACAGGGCACCTGGGCCTTTCTCTCTGTAGCTGCTGGGGGGAAGCAACGTGTGTCTAAGGAAGGGGCCAGGTGTCCACACAGGAACCTTGTCTACTTTGGGACAAATGGGGGAAAAGGGAGCTTGGGGAAAATGACAAAGAATTATTTTTACTCAAGTACCTGGGAAGCATGAATTCTACCCTGCCCTACCCCCAAAATTCCTTTTTCCCTTATACTGGCACTTTAGAAATCTAGAAATATTTAAATAGGAGGAAAATCAAATTGCAATAACATAGAATATGAGGATTCATTGTGATTCCACATTAAAAAAAACAACAGTGGGATAAAACCTACAGGGATATGTGGCAGCGTAATTGTGACTTCATCTCCTTTGCCGACCTGAAGCTCTCCTTCACAGGAAGTGTCTATAGATGCCGGCTTAAAGTCATCTAAAGGGAAAGGAAAAAAGCATTTATCCACCAGGTTACTTTTGCTAAGGGTTTGCAGGGCATTCCCATGTAAGAACTGAAATTTTTTATAACTCAAATAAATGGAAAATACACACCATTTAGAATTTTTCAGAAAGCTATTTCATTGTGGACAGCTTCTCATATACAACAGCAGACAGAATAATACCATGAGCTGTGTGTACCATCACCCAGCTTCAATAATTACCAGCTCTGGGACAATCTTGTCTTATCTATACCTCCACATACTTTTCTTCTCATTCCCAGTGGATTATTTTGAAGAAAAAAGGCTAGAGTTTACACAACACTTTATTAAGCAAAGATATCCCCTTCTGCCAAATGACAGATAAAAAATTAATGTCTTATTATCCACAATGAGGTGTTTTACTAGGGTTATTATAAGGATCAAAAGGAACAGAGCATATTTTTTAAATCCTGTGATTGTAAAACCCAATGTGAAATATGATAGGCCATAGCACCATACAAGCTGATTTCATTTTGATAGGAATTGGCAAAGTTAGGATCTGCCACACTCCAGTTCCATAGCTTTAACAAGGATTACTCCTGTAGATGTTTGGAGCAGAAGGTTGAACTGTATTTCCAAAGGTTAATCCTGCCCATGTTTCTGAATTGCAGTTAAAGCACAGCAGGACAGCCACCTTACTCCCTTTTAACACAAACCTGCTTCAAACGGCAGGCCAGGTGCTTCTGTGAAGTATCTTATTTACATTCCACATTGCCCTTCACTCTGCTAAAACATCAAATCAGTAAACTGCTCAGGAAATGACGCTCTTATCATATTCCCAATACCCTCTCTCTGAAAGGGCTGAACTGTTGTCAGTAGGAAGCAGAGTAATGGCCTGGCAAGTGACCACAGGAAGATAGAACTGCATTATCTAACACACCCTCTTCCAAGGTGTTGAGTCACGTGTAGGAGCTCCTCTGACAAAAACAAGTCTTAACCAGCATTGGGGATACCAGGAAGGGAAACAAGGAGCCTGTGAATCACAGCGGGATGCTCAGTCAGCCAATTCTTCACCCAGGACACAGAGTGGAAGGGCCCTCTCTCAATAGGGTCTGTAATCATGGAGAAAAAGGAGGTCCAGCATAATGACTATCTCCACATTCCTTAGGCCTCCTCGCTCCTGCTTCCAATCATAGATCAAGCGCTAACTTATTCCTGGCTCTCAAATCCTAATTTTATTCTTCACCCACAAGGGACTTGGTCCCGAGGAAAAGTTGGGGTAGTCCAGGTGACCTCAAAAGACATCAAAATCACAAGAAAAGCTAGCATGGAGACATTGAGGAGGGAGACTGATGAGGCACAGAGAGGATGTGGATTCTGGGGCTGCAAAGGGGATGAAGCACTGCGTCAGGGAGGGCAGAACCAAAACAGACGAGGGAAGAAAAGTGAGGAAAACAGGGAAGAAGAGAATGGAATAGGAAGGAGTGGACGCGGATCCCGAGGAAACAAGAGCGTTTCCTTGAAGCGTGGAGACCCCCAGTGGGGTCATGGCGGAAAGGCGGCTACAGAGAAAAGCTAGAGCCTGATGTGGTGTCGCAGCCTTTCAGAAATAAGAGGGGGAGCGTCAGTGCGCGGGAGGGCTGGACGCGGCAGGAAAAGGGGCCAATGGTCTTCGGAATAAGAGTTCGGTACCACGAGGCAGAGGAATAGTGGGAAGGTAGTAAAGTTCTGGTTTGGAAGTGAGCTGGGAAAAACCCGAGGTTCCGGCGGATCCGGGCTGAGAGGAAGGGAGCTGACGCTGGCAGGGCTCCCTGGACACCGGAGGGGCTAAGGGCGGCCAGGGTCGGCCGTGCGGGCGCGGACTCACAGCGGATGGTGTGGAAGGAGGTCCGCGGCCGCTTCTCGAAGCTCTCCCCGAGGCGCAGGCAGTGCTCCTCGCGGTCCAGCAGCGGGTTGGCCGTCCCGTTCATGGCCCCCCCGGGCCTCGCGCCCACACCGGTGCCCTCCTGGCGCGCCCGCGGCCCGAGCTGCCGGTACCGGCGTCCGGGGGAGCCGCGCTCCCGGGACAGCGTTCCGGGTCGCGCGGGGATCCGAGCCGGAACCCACCCGCGGCCGGAAGCAAGTCCTGATCTCCGCGTCCGGAAGGTGGGCGACTCTGAGGAAGCGGGGCCCCGGAACTTCCGGCGCCGAGGAGGGACTTCTGGGCTCGGAGCGGAAATGGCGGGGGCGGTGTCAGGGTAGAAGGACTCCGCCCGAGAAATCCGATTCGAAGTTTTCAGAGGCGGTTTGTCCATTCGAAGGGTTCTTCCGCTGTGGCTCCCAAATTTTGCTTCCGAGGCTGGCCTGGCTGAGGGCTCAGCGCGCCCGGCCCCACCCTCCAGGTGAACCTGGGAACTGATGACGGGGCCCCAGCGCGCGAGGAACTAGGTTCACGCCGTCCTCTCAGGCCCTCGCGGCCGGGCGGCCCGGGTTATCCCGAGTATCCTGGGCACCCCACGCCACGCGTCTCTGAGTCTCTTCCTCCCCTTCGCGTGCCGACGGCGACGCGAGGGCCTTGGTCCCTGGGAAGCCCCCTCTGGTTCGTAAGACTCAGAGTCTCAGGCCACCCGGGCTTAGCTCTGTTTTCCCCGAAAAACACTGAGTCTCCGGTCCTTGGAAACGGTGACCCTCCTTCTGTCCGTGAATTGACCACCCGCTCCCAGTTCGTGCAACCGTTTTGGTTGTTTGTAAGACACCCCTCTCACGGACACCGAACATTGATGAACCCAAGGTTTCTCAGTCAGTTCTCGGCAGTGACCTTTTTCTAAACCAGAGCGATTTTTTGTGTTAGTTAACTTACTCTGGTTTGAATTACAGTTCTGTGCGTGAGAACCCTGGCCGCTGAATGTCAGCCCTCTGAAGGCAGCGGCTGTGTCTTGGTCTTTGTGACCTATTCAATAGCGGAGCAGGGATTTGTGTAAGGTCAGCACCTAGTAAACGTTTGCTGAGTTGAACTGTTAGGTGAAAGAACTGTTGTAGGACCACTAACTCAGCATCTTTAAAAAAGTTCTAGAACCCCCCAACCGGAGTCTCATTCTTTTTCCTGCGAAACACCCGATGCTGCCTGAGGCTTGGACCCACCCTGAGGGACCACATCTGAGAAAACCCTGCCTGTGTCTGCAGTATCCGCTTGAATTCCTCAGCTTGTTCAGGAATGGAGAATCTCCAGCAGTGTTAAATATATTACCATCAATTTAGGAGATGGCTGCTTTGCAAAGGAAGGGGCTTCAGGCAAGGATTCTCAGCTCTGAAGAAGAGGAGAAACTGACAAGAGACCAAGCTTTAGTGTCTGATTATAAACAGCAAAAACTGGAAAAAGAGGCTCAGAAGAACTGGGACCTTTTTTACAAAAGAAATAGCACTAATTTCTTCAAAGATAGACACTGGACCACCAGAGAGTTTGAGGAGCTCAGATCATGTAGAGAGGTAAACTAATATTACTCCTTATTTGAGCTGTTCTTCATTTAGAATGTGTAGAAGAGGGGGTGCTTTATTGCATTCCCAGGGGAGTGTGAGATAATTTATGAAACCTCTCAGAGGCTTCGTAAATTTTTGTACCTTAGATATACACTGTTTGTCTCAAGTAGTTTTAGCAGTTGCTGAGTTGTATAATACAGAGGAGAAAAGACGCTGTAACTGCATTCCTGTTGTCTAACAAAGGCCAGTCACAGAATTTTGAAATCAGTGACTGATATGTCACACCGACATATCAGGCCATCAGCATCGTGCTTCTGTATTATGGCAAGAGAAGGAAAAGTAGATAAATATATGCTTTTTTTGTAAGTTTTAAAAAAAAGGGGGCATTTTCTGTTTCTTTAAAGCTAATCTGAAAGTTGTAAATATTAAATTCATGATGAATGATTTCAATGACAGGTTCATAATAATAATAATGATGAACATTTTATCATGCCCGTTTTCTAGAACTTTACATGTGTTCTGTAACTTAAGCCTTATAATAACATGGCGAAGTTTGGCGTTAGTATTATCCCCACTTGCTGATGAAATTGAGGCACAAAGCTGTTTAAGTGATTTGTCCAGTGATAGAACCCGGGGCGAGGGGAGGAGTCCAGATTTGAGTGCACGCGGTTTAACCTCAGAGCCTATTCTGTTAACCATTATGCTGTGTTTTCTCCACACCAGACTGCCCAATGTTGGACGAGGTATCAGTGGCTTTGGGTTATCAGTTCACTTTATTGTCTACTCCATGGGGGCAGAGACCTTGTCTCGTGTTCTGGACCTTTTAGTTTTTTCTTCATTATGTAGATGTAGTGTACTGTAACTTTGGGTTCTCTTTCCTCAGTTTGAAGATCAAAAATTGACTATGCTTGAAGCTGGCTGTGGGGTTGGGAACTGTTTATTCCCGCTTTTAGAAGATCCGAATATCTTTGCCTATGCCTGTGATTTTTCTCCAAGAGCAGTTCAATATGTCAAGGTTGGTGCACCAGCTGTGTGTTTTATTTTCCTAGACTTGTTGGACCTGCCTTCTACACCCATTTGCCCAGTTTCAGTCCTCTCCCTGAAGCTAACCAGCTATGATCCCTGTGAACCTAGTTTTCCTGTTTACATGCATGTATAATACATACAGAAACATAGCAGTATTCAGAAAAGTAGAAAGAAACACCAAACAACATCCTTATCCTTGTATCCAGATTTAATGATTGCCAGCATTTTGCTATGTTTGCTTTATAGACTTGCTGAACTGTTTTAAAGTAAGTTACAAATGTTGACACGCTTCACTCCTAAATATGTATGCCTACATCTTCAAAAAAATGAGGACTTTTTCTACATGACTACAATATACTTATCATGTCTGACAAAAATAACTATAATTCCCTAATGTCATTAATACCCAGTCTGGATTCAGATTTCCCCCAGTAGTCCCAGGTGTCTTTAATAGCTATATTTAATTAAGGACTACATCTTACACTTTATTATGTACCTTAAATCTCCTTAGCCTAAAACATTCCTGCCCTTCTCCTTGACCTTTTCCCCACTGACATTGAATTTTCGGAGAGCAAGTCATTTTCTATAATGAGGTCCCACATGCCAAATTGGGTCTGATTGTTTCTTTTAATCATTGTTTAACTTGTTTCTGTATTTCCTGTAAACTAGAAGTTAGATTTAAATCAGGTAAAATACTTTGGGCAAAAATACTTTAATAGCTGATGTTGTTTCTTTCATTCTGCATCCTATCAGGAGGCAGTAGTGTAATCTCGCTGTAAGTGATGCTAGTTTTGATCGCTGGGTTAAGGTAGTAACTACCTAATTCCTTTGTTGCACAGGTATTTTCTTTTTGCCACTAACAGATATGTGGGGGATGCTTTGGCAACATGCAGATATGTAGTTTTCCATCAACCTTTCACAGTTTTAGCATCTATTAGACTTTTTAAATAGTGGCATCACATTGTACTATAACCTGCTTTCTTCGCTCTATGTTATATCTTGCCGACTTTTTCATCCTAGTACATGTAGGTCCACTGCATTTCATTTACCTGTTGTAGTATTCCATAGAACGGATATGCCATACTGTAACAATTGCCTTGTTGGTAATTGTTCGAATTGTTTCTAATTTTTTGCTCTTACAAGTAGGGTTAATGTCATCAAAATTGTACACTTGCCCCAAAATACATGTGTGCACTTATTTCTGTGGTGAATAATAGAATAGAATTCCTTGGAGAAAGGATACATGTTGAAATTTAAGTAGATAATGCCAGGCTTCCATCCAGAAAATTATACCAATTTATAATTTCACCAATAGAATAAAGATATTTTTTCCTCTATGCCCTTAACATTTGACATCAGTCTTCTTTATATCTTCCAATCTTATGGGCAAAAAGTACTGTCTCCAATTATTTATTTATTTATTTTTGGCTGTGTCACATCTTAGTTGTGGCATGCGGGCTCTTCATTGCAGCGAACGGGCTTCTCTGTAGTTGTGGTGCGCAGGCTACAGAGCACGCAGGCTCAGTAGTTGCGGTGTGCGAGCTCTCTAGTTGTGGTGCTTGGGCGCGGTAGTTGTGGTGTGTAGGCCTAGTTGCCCCACGGCGTGTGGGATCTTAGTTCCCTGACCAAGGATCCAACCCACATCCCCTGCTTGATCTGTGACCCAGGATGTGATCTATCCTGGAGAATGTTCCATGTGCACTTGAGAAGAAAGTGTAATCTGCTGTTTTTGGATGGAATGTCCTATAAATATCATTTAAATCTGTCTGGTCTGTTATGTCATTTAAAGCCTGTGTTTCCTTATTAGTTTTCTGTTTGGATGATCTGTCCATTGGTGTAAGTGAGGTGTTGAAGTCCCCCACTATTATTGTGTTACTGTCAATTTCCTCATTTATAGCTGTTAGCGGTTGCCCTATGTATTGAGGTGCTCCTATGTTGGGTGCATATATATTTATAATTGTTATATCTTCTTGGATTGATCCCTTCATCATTATGTAGTGTCCTTCCTTGTCTCTTGTAACATTCTTTATTTTAAAGTCTATTTTATCTGATATGAGTATTGCTACTCCAGCTTTCTTTTGATTTCCATTTGCATGGCATATCTTTTTCCATCCCCTCACTTTCAGTCTGTATGTGTCCCTAGGTCTCAAGTGGGTCTCTTGTAGATAGCGTATATATAGGTCTTGTTTTTGTATCCATTCAGCGAGCCTGTGTCTTTTGGTTGGAGCATTTAATCCATTCACGTTTAAGGTAATTATCGGTATATATGTTCCTATGACCATTTTCTTAATTGTTATTGGTTTGTTTTTGTAGGTCTTTTTCTTCTCTTGTGTTTCCCACTTAGAGAAGTTCCTTTAGCATTTGTTGTAGAGCTGGTTTGGTGGTGCTGAATTCTCTTAGCTTTTGCTTGTCTGTAAAGCTTTTGATTTCTCGGTCAAATCTGAATGAGATCCTTGTTGGGTAGAGTAATCTTGGTTATAGGTTCTTCCCTTTCATCACTTTAAATATATCATGCCACTCCCTTCTGGCTTGTAGAGTTACTGAGAAATCAGCTGTTAACCTCGTGGGAGTTCCCTTGTATGTTATTTGTCTTTTTTCCCTTGTTGCTTTCAATAATTTTTCTTTGTCTTTAATTTTTGTCAATTTGATTACTGTGTGTCTCGGTGTGTTTCTCCTTGGGTTTATCTTGCCTGGGACTCTCTGCCCTTCCTGGATTTGGGTGGCTGTTTCCTTTCTCATGTTAGGGAAGTTTTCGACTCTAATCTCTTCAAATATTTTCTGTTGATGATTGTTCAGCAGTTAGTTGTGATTCCAGTGCTCTTGCAAGAGGGAGCGAGTGCACGTCCTTCTACTCTGCCATCTTGAACCAATCTGATAATCTTTTCCTTTTAAGGTACAAAGGTTTTATGTCTTGTTTAGAAGTTCTGTAATCACATAGATATGCTTTTTTTAATTTTGGTTATGTTTTTTAATCAATCTGGAAAAAGTTTGGCCATTATATCTTCAAGTATTTCTTCAGCTCTGTTTCCTCTTCTCTTTCTAGGATTCCAATTCCCTGTATGTTATACCATTTGTATTGTATCACAGCTCTTGGATGCTGGTTTTTTGTTTGTTTTTAACTTTTTTTCCCTTTCTTCAGTTTGTGTAATTTATTGTCCTATCATCAAGTTCACTGGTTCCTCTTTAGGCAGTAGACATTCCTATTGATGAGTCTGTCAAAAGCATTCTTCATTTCTGTAACTAAGTTTTTGGTTTTTAGCATTTCCAGTTGATTTGTTTTGTAGTTTCTATCTCTCTGTGAAATTACCTATCTGATCTTGCATGTTGTCTACCCTTTCCTTTAGAGCCTTTAATATGTTAATCACAGTTATTTTAAATGTCCAAACCTGTAGTTCCAACGTCTGTGTCATATTTGAGTCTGGTTCTCATGATTGATTGTCTCTTCATACCATATTTTTTCTGGCCTTTTGGTACGCCTTGTTCTTTTTTGTTGAAAGCCGGGTATGTTATATAGGGCAGTGGATACTGAGGTAATAAGGGTTTGTAGTAATCTAGACAGGAGTTGGGCTCTATTTGAAGTCTCTTGTTGCTATAGTTACCTGTGAGGTTTGTTGTTGCTGTCAGCCTCAGAGACTTCAAACTCCTCTGGTGACTTTGTTTTTGTTGCTCCTCTTGGCTTTGGGTCTTCCCTTTGTGCTGTTCACCATGAAGAGTGTGTCTCTTGCAGCTTTCCCAGCAATCCACTGTTGTTATTACTGGAGATTTGTTGATAGTATGTGGGGAAAGAGACTATTCTCTAATTTTCTGATTCTCAGTTTTTGAACTGCATAATGGACCTGTGTCTTAGGGGTTTGGCCCTCACAAGTGTTTCTGCTTCTCCAGGAATAGAGCTTTTCTCTCCCATCGCTTCCCCACCTCTGTCATCCTCTGTGGTCTTGAGGCCATTCTCTCTGCAGATTAAGACTAGGTCTGGGAAGAGTAGGGCCCTCCCCCAGTGGTAGTGGTACTCCACCAGTGCCCTAAGGATACAGGCCTCAGATGACTTTTCCCCTTCAGGTTAAACCTTTCCTCCCTTAAAGGAGGTGAGAAAGTCCAGCACCAGAAAGAGCACCATTGTCTCTGTGAGAGCCTGGTGATGTCCTTGGTGGAAACACCTGCAAAGGGTGGGAACATCCCGATGGCTTTGGCTGTTTGTCACATTTCTAATTTCCTCTTTCCAGGCTGAAGGCTACTGCCTCAGGTAAGCAAACGCTTGGGTCCTGAATCTCCCTGAAGGCACCTGTCCCTCTCCAGATTTGGGGATGGCTGGTGGTTCTTTGACCTCTGTTCTTTCATGGGTTCTCATAAAGTTGCTGTTTGTCCAGCTTGTTTCCCATAAGGATGGGAGCTACATCTCTCCACCTCTATACATCTCTGCACTGGAGCTGCAAGTCTTTTATTACTCCAAGCGGTCGGCTGTCCTCTAACACAGGTGGATAGAGCTAGCTGTTCAAACAGTGAATTGAGTGAGAAATTTGTTTTCCATTCCTGATAATTGTCACCTGTATTATCTCCTTTTTTTTTTTTTTAATTTATTTTTGGCCACATTGGGTCTTTGTTGCTGTGCGCAGGCTTTCTCTAGTTGTGGAGAGAGGGGGCTACTCTTTGTTGCGGTGCACAGGCTTCTCATTGCAGTGGCTTCTCTTGTTGCGGAGTACGGGCTCTAGGCATGCGGGCTTCAGTAGTTGTGGCACGTGGGCTCAGTAGCTATGGCTTGTGGACTCTAGAGCACAGTCTCAGTAGTTTTGGTGCACGAGTTTAGTTGCTCCGCAGCTTGTGGGATCTTCCCGGACCAGGGCTCGAACCCATGTCCCCTGCATTGGCAGGTGGATTCTTAACCACTGCGCCACCAGGGAAGTCCCAATTATCTACCTTTTTTTAAATCTAATTGTCATTTTTGTCATCTCTCTTCTGTCATATACACTACTGATCCCTCTTTATACATGGGTCTGTTTGGGGACTCTGTTCTGTCTCAGTGATCTATTTGTCCCCATTCTCAAACCACACTGTTTTAGTACTTCATTTTGTAATGTGTTTTGATGTCCAGTAGTGTGCCTCCTCTTCCATTGTTCTTCATTTAAAAATCGTCTTGGCAGGCTTCCCTGTTGGCACAGTGGTTAAGAATCCACCTGCCAATGCAGGGGACACAGGTTCAAGCCCTGGTCTGGGAAGATCCCACATGCTGCAGAGCAGCTAAGCCCATGCGCCACAACTACTGAGCCTGTGCTCTAGAGCCCACGAGCCACAACTAGTGAGCCTGCATGCTGCAACTACTGAAGCCCACGTGCCTAGAGCCCTTACTCTGCAGCAAAAGGAGCCACCGCAATGAGACGCCCACACACCGCAACGAAGAGTAGCCCCCGCTCACTGCAACTAGAGAAAGCCTGCGCAACAACGAAGACCCAACACAGCCAAAAAAATAAATCAGTAAAATAAATAAATTAAAAACAAAGAAACAAAACCCCACAATGTGATATCACCTCACAGCCATTAGGATGGCCACTCTCAAAAAAAAAAAATCATCTTGGCTATTCCTCAAGATTTTCACTTCCAGATGAATAAAATTTACCTTGTCAAGTTTCTAGAAATCTGTGGAGATTCAGTTGAGATTGCATTGGATTTATAAGAGGAGTTATAGGTAGAACTGACATCTTTTCAACATTGAACCTTCCCATCCAATAACTTTGTATATCTCTCTATTTATTAAAGTCCTTATTTAAATTAAAGAAAAGTTTGATATTTTTTTCCATAATGCTCTTATACATGTGTTGAAACAAGGAACCAAAATGTACCAGGAACACGCTTGTAGTTAAAAAAATAAATAAATAAAAGTTAGGTTTTATTAGCTTGCTGCATCAAGGGAAAATATACCCAGAAGAACTGTGGGAGCATCTCCAAGGAAACTGGAAGGACTTCTCATAGGGTTAAGGGAGCAGAGGCTGGTTTTGGATTATCATCCCTCTGGAGTTACATGCTTCTAAAATGCTCAGTTTGGAATATGTGATAGACTGTGTACACAGTTAAAAATGATTGGTTAATATATTTAAAACAGGTAACCAACAAGGACCTGCTGTATAGCACAGTAAACTCTGCTCAATACTCTGTAATAACCTAAATGGGAAAAGAATTTGAGAAAGAACAGATACATGTATATGTATAACTGAATCACTCTGCTGTACACCTGAAACTAACAACATTGTTAATCAAATATACTCCAATATAAAATAAAAATTTTTTAAAAGGAAAAAAATGATTTGTTAAAATGAAATCTTGTCTGTTGTAGCAGTATTGAACATTACATGCTTTAATGTGCAAATGGTTCATTACTGTTTTATCCAGTTACAAAGTGATCATTGATTTCTGTGCAGCAGTGTACACGTAGAAATAGGATCTCCTTTTCATGCTGTGTTTTTCTCTATGTATCAACGTGGATGTGGTGTAAAAACTATTTTTTGTTTTTCTCCTCTCTAGCAAAATCCTTTATATGACACAGAAAGATGCAAGGTATTCCAGTGTGATCTGACTAAAGATGACCTTCTGGAACACGTGCCCCCGGAGTCTGTGGATGTTGTCATGTTGATATTTGTGCTCTCTGCAGTTCACCCTGATAAAATGCACCTTGTCTTACAAAACATTTACAAGGTTAGTAATTGGGAGCCTGTACTTGAGGGTTAGATGTCCTGATCTTTTCACTTAACCTTCCCTCTGAGGCTCACGTGCTGTCTCGATTGACAGAGTCTCCCCGTTCTCACGAGGTAGGCTGCGTAGTCAGTGTAGGGTTTTCACTTAACCTTCCCTCTGAGGCTCACGTGCTGTCTCGATTGACAGAGTCTCCCCGTTCTCACGAGGTAGGCTGCGTAGTCAGGGTAGGGAAGAAAGTTCTCCTGCATAAAACATCCACCCTAAATTCTCATTTGCCTGGTGGCCATCACTGCCCTTCAGAGCTTGGCCAGCCTTGGAGCAAGGATGATTTTGCAGCTGCCTAGGATCTGTGGAGTCTTGCTGTAAAGTGAGAGGAAGCATAGTTCAGTGCACAGGAGCACACAGTCTGAAGTCAGGGTGCCTAGAATCAAATCTGGCTCCCCTAATGTAGGCAACTTCCTTTACCTTTCTGAGCCTTCATTTCATTACCTGTGGAATGTTGAGATAATAGTTCCTAGATCTTAGGATTTGGGGGAGATTATATGAGATGTGTTTTAAGTGCTTAGTGCAGTGCCTAGAAATGGTGAGTGCTCTTTAAAAGTCAGCTGTGGGGGCTTCCCTGGTGGCGCAGTGGTTGAGAGTCCGCCTGCCGATGCAGGGGACGCGGGTT